GGTCTATGTCACGCACCGCCATAACTCGGAAATTCAAAATGTCTCGCTTGCTTGAGAAACGCAAATAACATCATAGGCTGATATAAAGACCTTGACTCTTTTCACGCCCTAAAGACCTGCAAACGTGTAATAAGCTATTAATCGATTCCAAGAAATGCAATCAAAACCAGAAGAGCTTAAGTACATCGATTCGATTGAATTTCGTACAACTTCAAAGGCAGAACATTTAGCTCAATTGCAATATAGCTAGTGCTTCTCAGTATAACGACTGCCTGGGTATACGCAGCAAAGCGTCTAGTTTTGAACAAAATATGCTGTTCCTCGTCAAATAAAACCTGGAATTCTCAAGTTAACTATTGGAAGAGGCCAAAGCAACTTTAGCTTTGGCTTTATTTTTGTCAGCTTCGAAGAAAAAGGCTATTATCTTGTCTTTTCGGTAGGACAGCTAAGTTTTGACTTCCGCTCGTACTGCGGGCGCAGCCGCCGTTTGCAAGGAAATGACGTCAAAATATAGTAAGAACAAACAAGGTGGCACGCGAAGCGATAGCCGAGTGGCAAACGTTTTGTTATCTTTCAAGCCTGGATGAAAATCTCGCCGTTATATAAACCGCCTAGAATCTGAAGAGTTTCATTTCTGAGAGGTATCAATTCTAAAACAACACATAAGCTGACCCTTTGATAATTTTTAACAGCGATAAAGACAATTAATTGCTTTGAATATCTTCTACACATAAAATTGCATAGATTGGCAAATATCCTCTGTCAAATAGGCTCCCATTGTCGACCTTTTGAGGCTGAACACCCTAAGAGGTACTAAAAATGCTTTTTAACCCCTAAAAAGTACGACGAACACCCCCGTCCTTTTTTTATATGGGAGTTTCTCCCCCATCCGCCATCACTGCAAAAAGTCTGTTTGTATCCCGACAGTCTTCACTAGACTGCAAACGTGTTTTTCTCGAATTACTGTGAGTGTCGTTCGAATAATAGGCCAAAGTTCAGACAACCCTCAGATTTTCAATGTAATGTTGTTTACAACATTCCATGTAAAGACTGCCCTTGGAATTACATAGGAGAAACCGGAAGAATAATAATTACTGATGTGACACAATATTGTGTAACAACATTTTTTAATGCATCGTTGACGAGTTATCCGGCCTTTTCTGATTTAGAAAATGGAATAATTGGAGGCGAATGGTGATTGATTGCTGTCTACTTCTTTGCACATGACATAAGCTCCATCGATGGACAAAAGTAAATTTAAAGGAGCTTTTTTGGTTTTTCCGTTGTACAGAAATGCCGTTTAATCACAGGAGCCCTTGGCCTCTAAATAATAGTTAACTAAGGTAGAAGAATGTCCGAGAGCTACTAAGCATAAAAAGATTCCACAAGCGCGGTTAAAAGTGGAGAACGTTGAAATGGATTTCGAATAACAAACTTGAAAAATGTAAATGTGACAGGTGAATTGATCAACATGACACGAGCGTTGGACAAGGGGAAATCTGGGTCCCCCCGGGCGGGTTAGTTAAATGAGTTCATATGCGAAAGAAATCAGAATGACACCGGATTTCTTAACACTAGCACCTGTTATTTTCTTTAAATGTTATGAATCTCATAATTCCTAATCTTGTTGACGATAAAGTATATCTGTATACATTTAACTACTCAGTAATTTAAAAACAAAAGCTTGAAACAATGATTTAGTTTAACTGGGTAATCATCAGATGAATTTACCGTTGTCGAGTTGTTCGTGTTGATATACTAAAAACACTTCTGAAAAGAGTCTAGATCCAATGTAAATATTTGCCTCGAATAAACATGAGGTCAGTGAAAAGTGATATACTCTTTAGTTCATAGAGTTTGAGAAGTGTCGTCTTCATGTCTGTTACGTTCATACTGCCCTCAGCGCTTCAAGATGAACAAGTTTTTCTATAGAAAGAGAAAGTTCTAGTAGTTATGAAAAAGGTGCACCCGAAGATCTTCTGATACATACTTCGTTTGCTAAAATTTTACTCCGTTAGATATTCAGTTACATGTCTCAGTCATGAAAGATAAAATGGGTGCCACCGACTTCGTCTCAGAGATAAAGCGTGTGAAAAATACCTTGACTCTGAGGAATTGTCGTAAGAAACGTACCCAGCGCGGTATCGAGAGTCACGATTTTAGCGAAAGATATTAATACTTAACAATTATTCGCCTCAGGCTCGGTTAACATACGTGAATATTCACCTCGACTTCGTCTCACCAATGTTCACCGAGCCGGAGGCGAATAATTGTGTAAGTATAATTTTCAGAGGTGAAACACAGAATAACGACTAAACCAGACTGTTCGTTTGCATACACGCATGCAGCCGTAGTTTTAATAATAAGCTTACATGTAATAGCTTACATCGATTGTGAATCAATTTACACATCAAGTTCGGCAGTAAAACAAACAAGCGAAACACTACGAAAAATAAATTCATCCTGTACCATTGCTTTATCATTGTTGACCTCATTCACAGCTGTCATCATCGCCTAAAAATGAGTAGCTTTAGTTTGAAGAAAAATAAATTTCGGTCAATCGATCTGACCTGCTGGCGATCAACGTTACCACTGCGTTTGCGATTCTTAAATTCCTTCAATACGAGTTATTGAAAGGATTTTTCGTCCAAGAGCGACAGCAATCATTTTGAAAATTCTCCATCCTTCCAAATATCCTGGACTTGGAGTGATGTCTTTCGAATAATTAAAACTTTGATTCAGCAACTGTCGGCCATGCTTACTTGGCGAGATGGCAAAAATGGCGAGCTTAGTAACCAGGCCTCGAAAATGTTATAATAACCGCCTGGAGCAGTGAATATTTAACAAATAGATTCCATGTTGCCGTGCGTCTGTTCAGTAATAGATCACAGATGACGTCAAAATGTGGTAAGAACAAAAAAGTGGCACACGAGACGATAGCCGAGTGTCTCACTGATGTTCTTACGGCATTTTGACGTCTTCTGTGATCTATTACTGAACAGCTAGATCAGACGCACGGCAACATGGAATCTATTTGTTGTATATAATAATGAAACAAACTACTACAGTAAAGCTATTTTATATCAAAATCTTTCAACATAACTCGAAAACTGGCCTTTGCCCACGTTGGCGAACACGAGAAAAGCAATTTGACGAAATCTATTGTCTATACAAAATGTAGTAATCTAATTGGTTGCTATGCGTAGCAAAGAACTGTGATTGGTCCAGGAAAATCACGCCACTGTCAAACTTGACTCGAGCGTCGCTTCTCGTGGAATGAAACTGACACCGAAAGCAGAATTGAACTGCGAAATCTACAAATCTTAAAGAAAATGCTGGAAAAGTCAAGTCAGTTTTTGACATCAGAGCAGCCCTGTGAGCCAAAAAGCTTGGACGTTGCCTTGAATGTTGCAGGAGTTGAAAAAATACGCTCGGAAAACTTGCGGTTGCGGTCAACCTAGAGGCTATTCGATTCGAGTTTTGAATGAAACGAGCGCTAGTGACGGTGGAAATTTGTCTCCTCTGTGGTTGGTGATTCTCAAATCAGTTTGAAATAGTGTCGGAGACACCTTTTAGCTGCGATACAGGTGGCCGTGAGCTGTAGTTA